GAGAGAGAGAGAGAGAGAGAGAGAGAGAGAGAGAGAGAGAGAGAGAGAGGAAGGAAGGGTGGGAGGGAGTGAGAGAGAAAGTCACGTAACGCTACTGTTGCACCAGCAAGCACATCGTCATCGTCCAAAAAAAATGTCTCAAGTGCGTCTCGTTCTTGGCAATGAAGATGGAGACCAATTTCCTCTACTGAGCAAAAATCATTCCTAATCGCCTTCTAATGCCTACAGCGCTTAAACTGCATTATTATTTCCGATAATTGAATCTGATGCTCGTGGCGACTTTCCTCCTATATTGAGAGCGTTTGTTTACGTGTTTACGCTGCTTGGATCAGACCTACGGAAGATGACGAGGCAGATTCGCGGCTTGGGTGCGTCTTTGTATTACAGACTCTATCACGTGATATATAAATATGTCTTTTATACATATATACGTATATCTCTTATAAAACACATTTGTTCTCACTTTACTCTCTTCAGCATCTCTATCTTAGGGCGATGGTTATACGCAAAATATTTGCACGCCGTATGGACACACTAATGACTCCATTACTTTGTCCCGTTGTTAAGACAGATAAGGTCTGAGGATACACGTTGTGATGGATCATATCTCGGCAGGAGTCTATTTAATATCGCTTCAAACAGTGCCATCGACGCCAAACAATCCGTTTATCCTAACGATTCGTGTACCTCCTCCTCACGTTTATACGCTTTATAGGCTACAGCTTCGTTCCACGTTATTGAGCTCGCATTTCTTCTCGGATTTCAGGAAAATTGTATACAATGATCTCGTGGCTATTACACCTGAGCAGTATTTCAAGCAAATAACAAAACGCGTTGCCGAGATTAAGGCGGTGTCGGTAAGTGTGGTGACGGAAGAAATCTCTCTCTCTTGCGAGCCGAGACATCGATCAGACGTTCTCGAAATCAATGTTTGCGACAGTGTCAGATGCTTAATTCAACAGTAAGTACTGTTACTTTACAGAGCCCGGACGAGCGCGGTGTTATTGTGCAAATGCTCGAAAGTGGGTACCGGTTCGTCCTTGGATCCATTGGAGGAGGTATGTATCAAATCCTTTATGCTTCTACTTATGTATTAAATTGTTGCAGATGAAATAGCCGTTTTTGAATTTAAACTTTTATTCGATACACTATATACATCTTGTCGATCGAAATAATTTTTTTCACATCTAGTATATGCAGGGTGATTCATATGAAGTGGCCGATTTCATTATTAGCGAAATTTGGAAACGTATGAAAAAATCGTTTATACCAACATGTTCAATACAAACGGGGACATCATATATCATATATAGTAAAAAAGTTAAGAACGAAAATGTAGGTTCTACGCTGTAAGAACGTAATATCATTCGCGTCTTCTTCGACAAGTTTTTTCCGAATTGAGGAAATCTCAATTTGACAAAAAGTCAACCTTGATACGGAAATTGGGAATTATTGAATTAAACAATAACTCGACTTAGGATTGTAACGTCACATTTTAGAAATGAAGCAATCGTGTGCTTGCAGCCGTTGGTGCCACGGCGGTATATCCGATCGACTTGGTGAAGACCAGGATGCAGAATCAGAGGACTGGATCCTTCATAGGCGAGCTGATGTACAGGAACAGCTTTGATTGTTGTAAAAAGGTTGGAATCGAAAAATCTCGCCGTGTAACACTCTCTGCATTGTTAATCATGAAGCTGGTGTTATGCGTTTGACAGGTGATACGGCACGAAGGCTTTTTTGGTCTCTACCGAGGTCTGATGCCACAGTTAATGGGGGTAGCCCCTGAAAAGGCTATCAAATTAACAGTCAACGATTTCGTCAGAGACAAGTTCATGGATAAGAACGGAAACCTACCGGTGTACGGAGAAATCCTGTCTGGTGCCTGTGTGAGTGCTTCTTTTCGCGCTTGTATGTTCAGTATTTTAATTGGTTCGTCTCATTCCATTAACATCCCAAGAACCTTGTAGGGCAACATTGTATTAATATTCATACAACATGCCAGTGACCTTTTAATATTATTTGGGACAAGTAATTCTCGCAAAAAGAAATATATAGCACGCTCACGTTGAATCAATAATAATTATATTCGTATAATTTATGGCTGCTCCTAATAAATATTGGCAAATCGCAAAGATTTACTTTTCGCGTTACGTTTCCGCGTTGGACGAGCCAACGTGAGGTGTAACGAAACGTTCCTCTCTTCTTTCCACAGGCCGGTGCGTCCCAAGTGATATTTACTAATCCGCTGGAGATAGTAAAGATTCGCCTGCAGGTGGCCGGGGAGATCGCGGGTGGATCAAAAGTGAGAGCGTGGACCGTCGTCAAGGAGTTGGGTCTTTTTGGATTGTACAAAGTGAGTAACGATCACGGCCTTATCTGTCTTATCAAACGTTTTTCTTTCTCCCTCTTCCTCTATGTCCTTCTTCTTGCAAGTCGCACTAATGGTGGTCACAATCCATCTTCGTAGGGCGCCAGGGCATGCTTCTTACGAGACGTGCCGTTTAGCGCAATATACTTTCCCATGTACGCTCACACGAAAGCGCGGATGGCCGACGAAGGAGGTTACAACACGCCGTTGTCGCTTCTCGCTTCCGGTGCGTTCGCCGGCGTACCCGCGGCAGCGCTGGTCACTCCCGCGGACGTAATTAAGACGAGACTGCAGGTACGTGATCCCAAAACAAACGTCCGAGATATTCTGTGCTCCTTTCATCATTTTGTCGTTTTGCAGGTCGTAGCCAGGGAAGGCCAAACCACGTACAACGGTCTGTTGGATTGCGCGAGGAAAATCTACAGGGAAGAAGGTGCCAGGGCGTTCTGGAAGGGCGCAACAGGTATCTCATTTTGCTATTCCCTATTGACGAGATTCTCGAGGCGGTATATAACATTTCCGTACTGGAAATTTTTCTCGAAACATCTGCGAGTCCGCTAATAATGTCGCTTTCGTATATCAGTGAGACGGTTCTGTCGCGGAAAAAAGAAAGAAAGGAAAAGAAATAAGAGGAGTGATTTCTTTTTTCCCGGAAATAGACGTAGGATCTTTTTACCGCACTTCAATGAACTTCTTTACCCTAACTGGAATGAGTGCTTTTTATCGTATTCGATTTGTTAACGTCCAAGAACAATAGCCGCGCTCATTCTGTCCAGACAACATAACGTATAAAATTGGATCATAAAACGTCTTGAAGACATTTATGAGTAAGGCGTTTGATTGACGTCTTAAAGACGTCTTTCAGACTCTTATGTCCCGATTCTAGACGTTATGTTGTCCGGCCAGTCAGGATGGAGTTCAGTGGCCGCATTAATTATAGCACGATCTCATCTCTGTGATATAAATAATTGCTTTCATAATTCGTTGGTTTTTTTGTAAGAAGTAAACAAATAAAAAGGAAAAGAGATCCGTTTCTCTCTCTCGCTACGGCCGCTGAGAGTATAGTTAGTAATATATTCTGCTTTTGGTCGATTGCATGCGCGGGGGATCGGCCCTGCTGCATCTTTCGACCTTTCTTCCTCCCCAATATGACTCGGCGATTTACTTGTCAGTAAGTACCTCTTTCTTCGTCTGTCCCTTTTATGATTTTCACGCCTGCCGTCTTGTGTCCTGTTTTCTCCAATCTGAATCGCAGTCAGCATACTCACACACTATCTCTCTGTATTCAGAACGATCATCGACTGTAACTTATCATCTTGTGTTCACGCATATCTTGCAGCTGTAACCCTGAAAATGCAGGTCAATCAAATATATATGAGTCTTCTTTTCAGAAGTGCGACGCATTATTGAAGTCGCAGAGGCTATGTTCTCGTATCTCTCAATTTCAAGTATTTTTATATTGATGATTATTAACAAGACACTGAGATATTTTCTGCTCGTAGGAGATATTAATGTCGTTCTCTGTATCGAAAGATTTTCTCATTCAAGCCCCAAGTGTCGCATCGAGCCTTCAATTTTGGATTCTGCATTTTGACTGGCATTTTCTCAACTTTGACTAATATTTATTCACAGATGTCTCGTGAAATTAACTGCGTAACGAGCGAGAATAAAAAAAAAAATATGCATTGATGTATCAGTGAACATAAATTGTTATCAGCTAGTGGTTATAATTTTCAGCATATAATTGTCATTATCGTTCATTCGCCTTGGTCTCTCAGAAAGGAAATAGACAGTCATCATGCCGATATGCTTGCCATCGGAACGTCCTAAATCTTTATTTGGACAAAGAATATGAACAGTTCATTTTTCAAATATATATCCTGTGTCATGCGCTTCTCTGTTTTTACAGCTCGAGTTTTCAGATCGTCGCCTCAGTTCGGAGTCACTCTTTTCACGTATGAGCTGCTGCAAAGGTTGTTCGTCGTCGACTTTGGAGGATCGTAAGTATATATTTTTATATGTATACATATCTCATGAATATAATATAATACGTACTGTTGTATGTCAAACTTTGTGTTCTTAAACAATTGCGCTAATGTTTTTTTTCAGTCACAGTTTCAATGCTACCATCCAGTCACTTAAATCATCTTTTGTCATTTTTTCTTTACAAGTCACTAAAAAATTCACTTTTGTTCAAAATTAGTCACTACAAATTAGTCACTACAGTCACTTTTTCCTGCTATTAAGCGAGAGAAATCTTGTCCCTATTATCTACATTTTATTATCATTAGATTATAATTGCGATTCAATTGTCGACATAACGATTTAGCGTAACCGATCTCTGATTCTTGTTTACAGTCGACCTACCGGATCGGAGCAAAAGGTGCCTACTATGGGAGTCGCGGACGAGATTCGATCAACGAACCCAGATCATATAGGTGGCTACCAAGTAGCTCTGCCCATCTTCACGGGTATAGAATCCAAGTTTGGTCTTTGCCTACCCAGGTTCCAGGCTGTTAGCGGGAAGTAACGGTGCCATTAGCGGCTGCTAGAAACAAAACGAGGAAGAAAAGAAGAAAAAAGAAAAAACAAGCTTGTAGCAACCCCTGCCATAAAGAAAGAAACGTGCGAGTCGCGAATCACCGGCTCGCTCTCCGCCGAGGCGCGCGTGTGAAGCGACTTTCACCGAATTGCAAATCGTGAAAAGTTCGTCGAAGAGTTCACGTCGTACTTTCTCGACGATCGGCTCGGCCATTTCGCGTTGGATACCAATTGTTCAGACCGGCAATAAGAAGGAACGGCCGTGCGTCGGCTTGTTGAACACAATGACGCGCGATGACGATCGTACGCACGCATGTGCCATGTAGATTTACATACAGATCGCTCGAGGAGAGAAGTACAAAATCCGTATCGTTGCGGAATGCCCGGGAGGAGAGAGAACTATCGTAATAACGCTGAGTCGTCGATGCAGTCAATTGATAAAACACAAATAAAGAGAGAAATATGGAAGAAAGAAAGAGAAAGAAGAAACCGATGGCATTGAAAACTATTTATTTTGATACTATATAGATACGTTATATCAAATTTAATGCCATCTGTTCGCGTAATTATTTTACAATGTGAGAGAGCGAGTGAGAGAGAGAGAGAAAAAGACACACTTATTGACGGTCCCGTGTGAAATGTTACTGGTTTGAAACGCGTCCGCCGTTACTGACACGCGTGTAAGCGTGTCTCAACTGAGTGCACGCTCGTTAAATCACAAACGATTAAACGCCAATGGATACGAGTGTGATGTTCTAGCAGAGATTATTAATTCGCCCCTGACGTATGTACGTACTGGACACATGTATATATATACATGTATATATATATATATATATATATGTATGTATGTATGTATGTATGTATGTATGTTTATGTAGGTTTTAACATAGTAATACGCGAAATTAGGCCTTTATAATTGCGATTTATCTTTTATCCGCCTACTTGGCTTCTACAGCTAGTGAGGGAAGGAGAGCGGCGATAAATTTATTTGATATCGTCGCACGGCGCCTCGTCGAGCGCAAATTTGAAGCATTTGAGCGTCGACAAATAAGATACGCGTAAAAATACACATACATGCGTTCACTGTTGAACGACGAGCGAGAGAGAGAAATATCGAGTGGAATTATGTCGGTACCATCAGCAACATCATCCATCCGAAATACGATGGATTCTTGTATTTACATCCTGCGGGGTGAACTGGATACGCAGTTCGAAGTCTGCCACAGCGATGTACAAATTTACCGAGCGGTGTTCTGTATTTTTAAGCGTAAACGAAAGTCGCAACGGGTGTGTCTTCTCTCCGTTTGTGTTTCTTTAGGGCGACTGAGCGATCAAGAGGAAACAAGAGAAGTGAGCTTTTCGTCCGATACGGCGCGACAATCGTGATTGTTACTGCGAGTTAGAATGCGGATTTATTGACATTCGGCGAGCGACACCAGTTCTACAATTATGCGCGAGATGAGAGTTTAACGTACAGAACCGAGAAAATTCGTTGGCGAATGACACTTGATTGAGAAAATGTACACGTTAAAATGAATTTCTCTGTAATCATCTTCTCTTTTTCTTTTTCCTTTTTATTGTGGAGAAATACAGGTATTATTTCTCATGATTGCGTGATTGATAGATTCGATATTCCCGTGAGACGATTCTTTATGCTTAAACGAGTGTTCGAACACACGACCACGTTGAGCGCGAGTGAAGGAGGATGCGTTGACTTTGACGTCCCTTTTACACTTTGCTTTTCGATATATCTCTTAGAGACTCGATAGACTCGACAAAACAGTTGATTTGCAAACGAGTTGTGAATTCAGGAACTAGGATATTTTTGTAACATTTGTATTCATGTAGAAAGCGTAGAGAGAGAAAGGGAACCTAAGAGATTTCCTCGAAGAGGGAAAGAGGGATTTTTGCTTTCTCCGTGTGTGTAAAAAAGAAAGAGGAAGAAGAAAGGACAGAAGAACGGAAAAAAGAAAGAAAGGACACATGGAAAATGAAAGCAAGATACGCATTCGCCGGTCTTGATACGGAGATTTCATTATTCGTAGGCAAAATTGCCCCTGTCCGACGGTCCGCTTTACGAAATCTAGCAATTTGTAGTTACGCGGACTTTTCTAGTCGGTGTACTTTCTACTATGTATTAAAGATCCATTTCTTCGAGTAATCGAATGGAGTTGACACACTCACATACAGACAGTGAATCATACACACACATATACATGCGCTGCTGCACAAAAAGTATAGGTATTATTGCGAGCAGAGCCTTCTCTTCTAGTTGCAACTGCCATTCGTTTTAACTTCTTTGTAAATATACCTTCGACAGATGTATATTGTATATAAATAAAGTTATATTTATATACAATATATTGTATCGTTCGTTTATCGATACGAATGAAGTTCATCGTTCGATCAAGATCATCCGCGTCATTAAACACATTTTGACGCTTAAACCCTTTGCGTCCTGTGCCGAGACTGACTCGAAGCTTCTGTTCGTTATCTTTTTTAGTAGTTTAAAGGGAAATTGCATATAGGAAAGTTAAATGGTTTTCCATGACACGTCTTACGTCGCTAAAATAGTCTTTGGCTATTGATGCTGTGTTTATCTTAAACCACAAACGATAACTGCGCGATTTGAAAAAGTAGCTGAGCTTATATGGAATTGTTGAGACAAGACAGTGAAAATATTTAAGTCGTAAAGGGTTAATTTTTGTAGATGTTCCCCGGGAAAAACGATTTTATATAAATTATGTCTATATGATCGTATATATTTATATATTTATATATAATTAAATATTAATTTATTGATTTTGTATAATATATAATTTATATATAATCACACACACACACACACACACACACATATAACTTTATATATATACAATAATTTTATATATAATAATTTTTCCTGGATCAGTACGTAACACTTCTTGCGGTAATTTTCGTAGCATTTTAGTTGAGTCAAGAGTACAATGGAAGCAATTGTATATTCGGTTCATTTCTTAGGTTTACGACGAGAGGAGAAACAAGGGCGCGCGCGATTATAGTTTTCACTATTAATTTGCCGATTAGCCCCCTTCGCTCTTCACTCGTTCTAAGTACCATAAGATTAACTTGCATGCATTCTCCGGAACTTGCGTACAGTACTTGAGACACTTCCGCTCAGTCTTACTTCGCTTCGTGACTGAGAAGTTCGAAGTATCAAAGCAAGTGCACTTTAATATTTTCGCTATTGATATCTTGTTGATTATCGACGTATTACGCTTATGTAACGGAGAGCTTTCAGGGTCATGTATATAAGAATAATCACGTAAAGATAAATGCAGAAAGAGAGAAAGAGAGAGGTGGATTTACGGAATCGCGTGGAAAGCGTGGAAGGAAATGTATCGACGGTCCACGAATGTTCATGTTCGATGTATCAAGTCTGAAAAATTCTCACTCGCTAAGTCTCCTTTGATGCGTCTTTCTGAAAACTTCCGTTCGATTATTGTATCTCGTCTCTGTCATCTTACGATGTTGCCTTGTATCACTGAGTTGCACATAGAATGTAATTGATTGTGCCTAACAAATTGGTTGTACGGTCAATAGAGAGGATATACGATCCATAAAAGGAGATGAAAGACGTATGCATCTCAGGCAGGGTTGGGAAAGTTCCTTTTTAGAAGTAACTTGTTATTGTTACTCGTTATCCAATAAAGAGGTCACTTATTACAGTTCTTCATTTCGAAGAACAATTCATTGTCGTTATTATCACTCGAGAAGTAATTATTCGTAACTATACCGTTGCAATTGCCGTTACTTTTTTCATCAAGTTTCGAAGATTTCTTTTACTATTCGCCGCCGCCTATATAAGAGACGTCGTTGGACGGGGACGCGATATTTTAAATCTTAGTAGGAAGGATAAAATTCAATGAAACACAATCAATGTTTATAATAGATATAATTAAACAATTATATTTCAGAAGACCGTTGTATTCATTATCATCACCCAAAATGTAATTGTGTTAGCGTTACCGTTGCTAATAAAAAAAATTTCGTTGCGTTAAGAAATAAACTTTGTTAAAAGAATTAAGTCATTAATTAAGAAACTAACTTGTAACGGCAACGATAAGTTACAAGTAATGTGTCACTTCCCAACTCTGACTTAAAGTTCTACTTAACTCTTCATTTTTCGTAATTTAATCACTAATTACAAACTTTTATATTATCAGCTCGGTTCAGTCAACGTGTTGAACGTCCCGCGGCCGTCCGGGAAAAAAGAATCCTTATCATTATCATCTTTTCAAGCTCACACGTCGAATAATCAGGTCATACATTGCAACGACTTATCAGGCACGACTCTGCACATATTGATAAATCTTAATACGTAATTTCGCGAAGTTTTCAGAGAACGATTCAGCGGATGACAGCGATGGCATTTGCATTTAGGCCCGAGATATCAACCTCTGAGCCCCCATCCTATTCATAGATAAGTAAATATACATATATAGTATACATATATGTTGCGTATGTGATATAATAATATATATAGTATATGCATTTGTACAGGGTATTTTAAATGACGACTTCAAATATCTCTTGAACTATACGATGAAATTAAGGCCATTATCTTATGCCTCCCTCGAAATCCTACAAATTTTGTCTAAAATATTTTTCTTTAAAATACATTGTTTAAGAGATATTTAAAGTCGTCATTTAAAATAGGATACCCTGTGTACACACACACATACACATATACTTTTTGTTCAGTATTGTATGTTCAATTTATATTCGAGTTATTCTCGCGACAATTTATCACATTCATGGATTGGTTTCGGCTTTTTTCATCAAGTTCACGTTCTTTCAAGTTCGTGAGCTTGCGACCATTGTTAGCAAGAGACCTGAAAGGAAGGGAGAGAGAGAGAGAGAGGGGAGGAAGAAAGAAAGAGAGAAATAGAGATAATGGCCAATCAGCACAAAGCTATAAATAATCAAGAGTTAAATATATTTTATGAAGTACTAAGAGAACCTCACTTAATATTAAATTTAATCGATAAAACAAAGGAAAGAAAAAACAACAAACAGGAAAGGCGAATAGTTAAGTATAATAAATCTTACCCAAGTACAATAAAAAGTGATAAAATTATTACTGTAACTTTTTACTCTGCTTGGGTAAACTCGCTTCCATGCTCGTCTGTCTCTCATATCCATATCGGCGTTGCAGCTGCAACCGGTCCTTTTGTCCGTTAAAACGTCGCCCGTGAGACCGTCAGATGAACGAACAAGCGGGAGCGAGGAAAATATTTTCGTGCGACGATGAGGCTTGCGTGTGTACCGACGGCCACGTCCAGAGAGCTTTTTCTTATAGCGATAGTGTGTAAACTGCGCGGGTCTGTTGTTTATATCGATAAAGATCCGATAATCATTCACAATAAGATTTTCTCATTCTTTTTTCTTTCTCTGCTGAAATATCGCTTCTCAAATCAAATTTTTGGAACTCTATTTATACCTATCTGATATCCTTTTATTAAATTACACTATATTTTTTAAATAAAAACCGACCAAACGGTCAATTTACGCGTAAAGCGTAGCCAATTATATTTAACGAATTAAATATATAGCCGGTAGGGCTTGATAAAATTAGCGCTGTAAAATCGGAAAAAAATATATATCTGCCGTAATTTTTTTTTTGATCACCCAAACTAATTGGGTTTTGGAACAATCCGTGGAGATCAACATGGCAGTCAACGCAGTTAATCGCAATGTGAATGTGATTTAGTCGCGGTAAGTTCGACCAGGCGTCTTGGAATACGATGCGAATTGTTCTTTTATTTTGCAATCGTTTCGAGAATTGCCCAAGTTTTTCGCAGCTAAGTTCGCGCGAGAACATTTTCTTTCTCTCGTCCAAGTTGAACAAACGAAACGACGTTCTACGATCTGTGATCACTATCACTATCATTATTGACGGTATACCAGAAGATCGTAGTTAGACGATTTTGAATTCCAATTCTTATTACGAAATATGCGATCGTAATCTTTGATAAACTTAGGTTTACCTCATTGCGAATTGTAAAGATATACATACTTGTAAATCAAAACCTAATTACGAATAATACCTAAGCTGTTGTGCATATATTTTAAAATAAGAATAAATATTATTTAGGAGAGACACTCTGTGTTAATTATTCCCATCTTCATCTCTGAAATGGATTTAAATGTTGAGTAAAAAAGTTTCGAATTTTGAATAAATGCCCTTTCGCGGTACTTTAGACTCGTTACGATCATTAGATCTGTTATTTTTATCAGTTCCAAAATCGCCGCTACGAGCCGCCACAGTTATTATCGCGAACTGACAAAGTCACGTGAGGTCTTTCAAATAGTCCGGTACAGATTCTCAGTTACAGAGCGGCTCATGGCGGCAGTGCGGGTGCGTTGAAGCCGTTCTGCAATTTTTCCGTGATTTCGGCTCGTTTTAGGTGCGTGAACTGCGTCGAGAATGTCGAAAATAAGTTTGTCGTGGCGACGTTTCGTGTAACAATCGCGGAAATTGAGTGTCTCGCGTAACGGACGCCTAACCTGACAATCGTATACTATGGGACGACTGGAAGTTCGAAATGCTAACCGAAAGAATCTCACGTCGCCGAAAGTAAGTCTCGTGCGTGTGTCGTGGCCAAATATCGCTCAAACTCTCTCGATGTCTCGTACAACAGATCGTCGGGAATACCGCGTGAAGTTTTCGCAATCGTCAGAATACGACGCTCAGTAACGGATCGTACCAGGACAGTGTGGATTCGCGGAATTGTTGCCGCTCAGGATACTTCTCGCGATCTCGACTCGCCGTCTCGTTCTCGAATCATCGTCGGTAAGTGTTGAAAATAAGTCTCGCATGTTTATAGTGTGACGAACCAATTTGTCCGAAAATTCATTTATTTATTTATTAACGAAGAATATATCTCTTTAAGACGAAACGAAGGAAAATATCATTTGTGAAGAAGTAAGCGAAAAAAGTAATAAAATAGAGTAAGATGGGATGAGGAATGTTTGGTCATTATATCCAAACATAAATGATCAGGGAGACCCATGACTTTTAGTCTAATTAATATTAAGGCTTTATTGAAGCTCAATGTGCTCCTTTTAGTCTAATTAATATTAAGGCTTTATCGAAGCTCAGTGTGCTCGTTTTTATATCGAATATCCGCTGCTGTCGATACATTGCTGATATCATAATGTTTAACACTTACGTTAAGCTAGTTTGGAGCGATCTATCTACCTTCGCTCCCGACGGGAGCATGAGCTCGAAACTAACTGTTACGCTCTCTCTTAATTGCTAATTTCTATCAATTATGAATAGACTAGACGGATTGAACTAGAACAAACAGATAAGGAAGACCGCTTCCCCATCTTCGTCCCGGAAACCCTCCCCTTGTTCTTCATCCTACTCTTTCTGTTTCCCTCCTGCGCAGCAGTTGGTCGTAAACGAACTTATAAAAATCCCCGCGCATTTCACACACAACACCCGATTTACGAGGTGAGCGTGGGTGCGACGTCATGATTTGACGGACGACGTATCCCCCAGCAGCACCGAGAAAGAAACGACGGACAAGCCCGGGGTGGGTTCTCTGCGTCCGAACCCGGCGGTGTTCTTCGCGAATAGCCGCGCCGTGTAACGGCGCTAGCCGTACACACACAACGCTCCCAGGTGATAATAACTTCCACGCGCTGTAATCACATAATGTTCATTAATATACATACAGGAGCAGACGGCGGCCGAAAAAGCGAGCGTGAAACTGGAGAAGAGAAATTATTCAAATGAGAAAGAAATTTCTCCACAGTGTGATATCTCTGTCTCGCCACGCTCTCTCCGTCCGCAAAGGAAATGAAATCGCGGCGGGCGTTACTTAGGCGCAAATAGAAGTTTGTTTGATTTCACACCCGAATCTTCGAGAGAAATGTTATCTCTTATCGCGGGTTGCAACAGCGTTGCAACGCATTGTGATTTAAAAGAAAACATTTTTCACCGAAACACCGAATCTGTATAAAAATGATTTTTTACGTATATACAGAAAACATCTTTAAAAGAGAGAAATAATTCGATAAGACACGTTATACGGATTTAAAAAATCAATTATTTCCAAAAGGCGCAATAGGAATACAACAGATTTTAGTAGTGTAAATGTTGACGATTATTAAATATCTTTAGTTTTTCCAAAAACTCTTAAAGCCTCTCCAGAGAAGAAACAAAGTAACGTCTTGTGTATCTCTATTGTAGAAGATAACCAGCTCATGGTTGTGAAGCCCAAACTTCTTAACTGATCCAATATTACGAAACTAATTACGATACTTACAGCATAATCCGGCGTATCTGTTGCTGTAGGACATTCCATAACTGCCACACGCTGGCTGGCCCGATTTGTAAGGTTGATAGCCGAGCACGTTTCCGCTGAAATATAATTTGTAACAATGTAAGAGCGTCTTCCGGATATTTTTCATTCGTGAATTTTTAATTTTTAATTTGTGAATTTCACTGAGCAAGCAAGAACACTGCATATAGTTGTTTCGCGGCAATACTATCAAAAAGTTTAGTCATACGATAGAAAGCAAAATTAATTTACATAGATAACAATATGTATTTTAAATGTATCATATTACCATTTTGTTAACAATTGTTAGGAGAAAAGGCGCGGTTAAAATCAAACTGATTCTAATGAATTAATTTCTTTTTATTACAATTGGTGCAAATTTTTGGTGGAGATTGTCTATATTACGTAAAAGCACACATACAAGTAGTCTTATAGTTAAACAAAAATTGTCAACAGTCATTTACAAAACGACGTTTAAAATTAGAATATTCTCTTGATACCACTGTAATTTTTTATATTAAAATTCTAAATGTAGTTTACAAGTTGAAATTGAAAAATAAGATACAGTGTGGTATAAAGAGACCTTAAAAGCGTCAACTTTAATTACAAATATCTCAAGTTCCAATCTCTTTTTAATTGCGCGAACAGTTACATAATATTTCGATCGATATGTAGTATTTAAGTTATAGCGAGTTACTTTCTGAGAAATTTATTTCACGAGACAACTACTTTACGAAAAGCGTCGTGCACACGAAAGTATCAATTGCACATCACTGAAAATTAATACGTCACCGTGCGAGCGAAGATCGCGCACCTGAAAAATTCCCACCGCGTCAGTCTCTCTCTTTTGCGGGAAAATATTTCAGTTTTCCCCCCCTTTATTGAAACTTTTTATGGTGTGCATGTGGAAGTGCAGCGGAGGAGCGCGGTTACATTTTCGATACGTAAGGAGCGGCGCGTCATCCGTATTCATAAAAGGAAACTGTCCTGGAATTATAAGAAGCCCGCCGGAGGGAGAGAAGTATTTCCCTTCCGCGAATAAAAATCTAGTTCCAGCAATATACTCCCTTTCGACGGGATCGCTCGTATTTCCATACCCGAATGCCGACGAAACGGTAAGAGAGAAGGAGAGAGAAAAAGAGAACAGAACCGAAATAGAATTCTTACCTCGGCCCGTAGTTGCATACATAATTCTTGGTGTATCCGCGAGCCGGGTCGTAGTAGAATGAGTATCCGCATCCCAGCAGAAAAGTGTCGCCCCACACCAGCTGAAATTAATTCTGAATGTTTTTCGTTTCTTAAAGAATTGCTCGCACGAACTTGAAAAGGGTCCATTTCGCGGAAAGGTAGAACCGATTACGCTTGGAATTTTCTTGGAATACGCCCGGGGACAAACGCGGTTCGGCTCAAAGGAGTCTTGAGATCCTTAAAGCTCTAAATACCGGGAAAGCGGGCTGTTTTCTGTCTTTATATGATAGCGTAGGACGGTTTCTTTCACCGGTCCAAGAGATTTCACTCCAAAGAGAAAGCGTCGCGATAGCGCTGATAATTTTTTTATAGCTGTGAGCAATCGCAAAGGGTGCAAGTAATTTAGTGAGAGGAAATGTTACATTAGTTAAATAATATTTTATGTCAAATCCTCGAAGAATTTGCTGCGATGAGAACCCGTTGAAAATCCTTGAGCGTTATATAACTCAATGTTATATAACATTACATTGTTGAATGTGAAATTATAACATAGATATAATGTAATTGCTGCTCGATGTTGACTGGGTTGTTATCACTGTTGTTGCCCACTTCGAAAATATTTAGTTACCGTTATCATTATTCAAGAAATAATGGATCGATACGATTTCCATGATTTTCTTCACCAAGATTAAAAAGACGCATAAAAAGACATTTTTTCGTTTTCCTATTGATAAAAATTAATAATTATATTAGTCGCTGTTAAATATAAATATACACATTGTGTTATTGTTAGTATTACACTAACAATAAAATTGTTATTGAATTGAATCGTTATCGAGAAGTAACAGCAACAGCGTTACAAGTAAGATTTTACTCTCCAACGTTGCTTTTACCTTGCGCGTTTTCGACGAATTGACAAGTCGCTCGCGGAGCGAACATTATTTTCCGCTCGACCAGCCTCAAAAAGATATTCTTCAGCGCGTGTCGATCTCATGAAAATTCATTCGAACAACGACAACAACACCGAGCGACAACGAGTTAACAAGTGTCAGCTGCAGTTCGGAGACCGATAACGCCGATAAATTGCAAGTTTTGCAGGCTTCATTTTCGGCACTGACCTACGAACAAAATCGATCTCTCCTCGACATTCGTCACACCGAATGACTCGAAATTGCGTGCGCGCGAACGAAAGGTTAACCCTCATTTTCGAGCGATATTTACGTTGATGACCTTTTCGTATTTCTGAAAAGATCAGATAATCGGCGCGATAAGCTGGCGAGTTCATTTTATTTTACAGCTTGGGCACGCATTTTATAGTAATCCGATGCAGCGAATCAACGATCGTTGAATAATCAATCGGATCGCAGATCAAGATCACGTATAAATAGTCGATTTATCTTTCAACGTAACACAAAACGATTCTTAATGGACGACGTAAAAGCACTTATAGCGTGCTTATATGCCGTCCAGAAGAACAGTTAATGGCATCGACCTACCGCTATTGCATGAGATTAATATAAATTTTTTCATAACGTATTCATTTCCTTATTTATCCTTCATCAGCGAACCGTATTCGTTCTCGCGTCGAGTTCATGATATAATTGAGACGTTACGAGAGAGAATTGTATGATGAAGTAATATCCTACGATCCGATTATGTTTGTTGTACTTTAAGGGGATGCTATAATTGAGAATAATTTTTGCCGACAAAAAATGCTGATCCTTTTCTACAAAATTTACGTCCTACCCACATACACGCGCGCGTGCGTCGGTTTTTTCTCTAATTTACGCACCTGCGTGTAGTGCCCAGTGGCTTTGCTGTAACCTGTGTGGTAGTACTGCACCTCGTTGAACCAGCTAGAAATTTGCCGTCGCCAATTCGGCTCGCCGTCGTAAAGCCCCGGAGGCCTGGTCGTCCACGTGCGAGCGATGTTCTGTCCTACTGCAAATCTGCCTGCGAATCAACCGCCGATCTTTTAACCGCTCGTCGATTGCGCTCGCCATCACAGACGGATAAAAGGGCGCGCCATCGGGGGGGGG